CGCCGGCTGGCTCCGCCCCTGCCCGGCCCCCCGAAGCCATTGGCCGTGTCCCTCCTGCCCTGATTCTGACGGCAGCGGAGGGCCGGGATGGGCAAGGCCACACCTCTTAGGCTCCAGGGTGGCCAATGAGCCGGCGATCTGGAGCCTCTGTGGGCGGGATTAAGAAAAAGTTTGGAAAGAGATTGGGGGAGAGACGTGGCAGTAAGGGTGACAGGTGGGGTGGGGCGGCTGACGCTCGGATTAGACCGAGAGCGCCGGGGAGAAGGGGGAGGGGAGCGAAGCAGGTGGCGAAGCCGCGGGGGAGAACGGCGAGAAGAGTCCAAGGCCCCGAGAGAGAGGGCGACGTTTACAGAAAGTGACCCTACCCGAGTGTGGCTGTGGCCGAGGAAAATCCCACTCGTGGACGCTACCAAGTCGGCCTCCGGTGCACCCAGGAGAGCCTAGAGAAAGGGCGACGGGGACTCGTGCACCCGATTAATTGAATATTAATCACCTCAGGGGCCCAAGCCAACTGCCATCCAGAGAGTGACAACTACAGAACCCAAAGCTGCCGTGTCAGGCTGGGGGTGGGGAAGGGAGACCACAAGGCCACACCTCCCGCCCAGGTGACAGTTTAACTGCCTCCACATTCTAAATCAGACCTCCCGGTGCGACCCAGCAGCAGCTTGGACGTAGGGGTGGTGTGAGACTGTAAGAAGAATCGCATTTCATTCCAAATGTCCCAACCAGGCCTCTGTGCCACACTGCAAATGTATCTAAGTATATATATGTGTATGTGTGTATGTGTTTATGCATGTGTGTGTGTGCCAAGTGCCTACTTGAACATATAATGAACACGGTGCCTTCCTGTAAAGTGCGTTTAAGATCGTCTTCGGTTGAAATATGCCTGAGTGGGGAGAGAAGAGACTCAAGGGGGTAGGGTGAGCGCCCATTTTCACAACCTGCAGCAGAGAAATACACGAAGTTGACGTTGGGAGTGGAACCTAGAGTCCCTCCTGGCTAAAAATATTACAGGTAGCAACGGCGCCTGATTGGCCACGCGTCTCCCTTAGCAACCAGACGATTGGCTGTCTGGTATCCTGGAGACCGACGTCAAACTCGCACTGGGAAAAGG